ATCCTTACTATATGTTAATAACTATGTTTGGCAGTAAACGAGATTAATTTATGGTGTCATTTTGAACCTCTTGGTTTCCCATAATCTTAACTAAACGTATATTACACACGGTGTGTTTCCTATCCACGTAAAAACAAATTTTCGCGTGTAAATTGCACGATAAACACACTGCGTGCGAGACGCATTTAGTTGATGGTATCTATGGCAACCAAACGTCACTGGTGAGACAAACGTGCAACGAACGGACGGTCAGATTACGTTTTTTGCAGGGGAAAAACTGATCAGAAAATGTAACGAAAATGTAACAGAAGTTGTAGAAATGTAGTGGAGTAGAAAGTATAATAATTGCTGCAAAATGTAACGAAGTAAAAGTAAAAAGTATGCACTATTTATTCTACTTAAGTAAAGTAAAGATACGTGAAAAATGTACTTAAGTAAAGTAACAAAGAATTTGTACTTCGTTACATTCCACCACTGGTTATTAGGACAATCGAAGGACAAATAGAAGGGGCCACTGGGGGAGTTTATTTTAGCTGTGGCTGGACATGTGGTCGGACTGGGGAATGTGTGGAGGTTTCCTTACCTCTGCTACAAATACAAAGGAGGTATGACGCAGCAATAGTGTATTTTATCAAATCATTTTTAATGTATTTAACAGCACACTGTCTTAGCATTCTGTTTGTGGTATCTAATAATGTTCTATTGTACTGGTGTGTTGTCAGGTGCGTTCCTGATACCCTACCTGGTGTTTGTGGCTACTTGTGGGCTTCCTCTGTTCCTGCTACACACAGCAATGGGACAGCACACACTGCATTATGGTGATAGTCATAGCAGCAAAACTGCTTCCTAAAGAGTTCTTACTACTTTAACATATGATTTTACTTTATGTCAAGCATTGGCTACGCAGGACAGCTCATTCAGGTGTACAGCTGCATGTACATTATTTATATCTCATCTTCTCTTTCAGATCCCAACTTCCATGGGCCAGCTGTGACAACATGTGGAATCAGGCTAATAGATAAATCAAACAGAACTCACATTACATCCGAATAATATGCTATAATAAAAAGTTCAAGTTGAAGTGAACTCGAGCTGTGTCGACTGATATATTAAACCAAAAATCAAACATAAAAATTAAAGCTGCAAGCAGCGATGAAAAGGCCAACCATGCCACCGCCACCCGGTGTCTTCAGGAAGACAGAGCACGATGGGCAGTCTGCATTTGGGTTGGTAAACATAGGAGAATGTAAAAGCATTTTGTATTTACCACACTTCCCGCTTTAGGAAGGCCTTTAGATTAGACTGACAAAATATGGTGTCAATCTGATTAAAACTAGGAAGAGTTGGTTATAGTACATCTGGAAATTTCAAAAGCTGCACCATTACCAAAACTGAATATAGTCATGTAACCTACCGGTAGATGTGTTCAGGGCCAGACTTATCAAACATGTGAAATTTGGGCAAATCGGACATCATATATCTGAGTTGCAACATATTTCTGTTTTGTGGCGTTGATTACATACAATAGCACTTAGCTAAGAGTTGCATGATTTAACATTTCTAATAAGTTTGGTACTTCATGGCATATTTAAATGTTAATGGGAGTAAATTAGTGTAAAATGTAACTCCCTGATGGCACTATGACAGTAACTGAATATTGGCATGTAGATGCGTTCAGGACTGGACTCTTATCAACATGTGAAGTTGAACAAAGGCCTTTAGATTAGACGAAATATGTCGTGAATCTGATTAAGTCTCTAGGAAGAGTTGGTTAAAGAACACAATAAATTTCAAAAACTGCACAGGCTTTTGTAGTTAGGTCATTGCATGCATAGATGTCTATATAAAGGCTAGATATCTCGTCCACGCTGCTGGCCAACGGAGATTGACATCTGCACCTGGCGGCCATCTTGCCACAGGCAGCTAGCTCACTGGTAACATTGTGTTAATGGTACATGTACTATTTAAATAACCGTAACTTGCTAAATTTTCTACCGATTTTCAACCGGTTTGGTTTGTTATTAACGTCACTAGTCAGAGATGTAGTTATGAGACGGCATTACTTTAAATAATAAGTGAATAA